AGTTGGCCGGCCTGACTCTGGCTACTAGGAATGAGAGGTGCCCTTGGTAGACCGTTGGTAGTCTAACGTGCGGAGTAGGGTGCGGGGCGGCCACGGCGCAAAGCGGGCAAGCCGGCATAGGAGCTTAGTCGTGGCGTGCGTAATGGGAGGCAGGAATGAGGCCTGGGGGCTGCGCCACACCTGTTCATATGGAATACCGCGCTGGCCAGTACTAGGCTTGGGCTTAGCCCTATAGGTTATGGTGTTGGACTATCACGGCAGAAGTATGGGGTTCGAGGCGACCGGGCGGCAGCATGGGAGAGACGGGGCATTAAAGGAGTTGAAGGGTTGAGGGTCCCGTGGGACTATCCCCTTTTGTCTTGGTGGGGTGACCGACCACGGGCCCGCTTGGCGGGACCAGGGGGATGCTGGTGGGGTCTGCCCCCCCCCCCTTCCCTCCTTTTCTTTTTTATTTTTATTGTTTATTTATTTGTTATTATTTTCTTTTTCCTATCTCGTCTCATTTGCAACCGGTCCAATCCAAGCGGACGATATTGCTACTGGGGAATGGACGGGGGGGGTACGGCTACAAGTGCACCGTCCACCACCCCCGATCTGCTGTGAGAAGGTTGAGTGTGAGCATGCCCGTTGGGATCCGAAAACGGGTGAGCTATGCCTGAGTGGAGCGAGGCGGGAGGAGTCTTGGTGGGGGTACGCAGCGGTACGGACGTGCCAACCGGTTGTCAGACCTGGGCTCGAGCTCCCCTAACAGTTGCAGAATAAGACTACCTTGAATTAGTCGGGCCCGCTATCGGTTCCGGGGCTGGTAATGAGACCGACTGGCCTAGCACGGTTGGTACACCTCGGAACTGTTGAAATACAGACCTGAGTTTGAACACCGCTAAAAGCAGGTGAACAAAAAAAAATACTACGCTTGAATTACCTAAGACTGGTCAACCGGTAGCAATATTTTTGGGCAGCGGCCCTGCAATGGTCCTTCGGGGCATCCGTTAAAATTAGAACAAAGATTAGCATGGCCCCTGCGCAGGGATATCACACACAGATSTGGGACTGTACCAACTGATTTTATGGTTTCTTTGGTCTGGGCATTGCGGGACCTGATCCTGTGCCCTGAAAATTTATATGTTTAGCTTGTCAGTTTTGGACCACTGAGTTTGATCCGTAGACCTGTAGCTAGTAGCCTTTATGGGGCGGCGCTAGGACGTTCAGCCTCACCATTTTTGCCTGTTTTTCTGTTCTCTTGGAAACGGGTGGACCCGTAGCCCTTTGTTGATGTGTGTTCTAGCTGTTAGCCCCCGTGGCCCAGGTTTCCATCTAGGTGCATGGAGAAAAGATCCTGATGGCTTGACCGTGGATGCTATTTACTTGGACGGTCAGATAGGCATGTGAGAGGTTGCTATGTTACAGGCTGGGAAGGTTGAGTAGAAAAGGCCGGAGGCAGATGGAGTTGGAGTTCGACTAGTTTACTCTTTTTTTAGTTGTTGGGTGGAGGTCGTGTTACGCTGCGCTATTTTGTGGGCGTATACGCAGAGCATCGTCTCCAACGCTGATCACTGCCATAGAGGTGGCTGGACAGCCCCGCTAGTAACAGCTCCTGGCTCTGCACCCACGGGGTGCCAAGCGCCGTCCTCATACTGATGCACTTTCTGGGTTTTTGTCAGCTGATACCTGCTGCACGTTCAGTGGTTCTCCTTCGACGTAGCAGACCTCCATCTCCATCAAGTTGCTGTCCTTCGTCATCGTCCTTGAGAGCTGCGCTCCCCTGCTGAGCACACACTTCATCTGCGGTGGGCAGCGGGTTGTGTAAGCACTACG